GCCTGTCATTGCCCCGAAGCGGATATTGCCCGCTACTCTCCCCCTTTTAAAGTTAATTTCAAATTTAAGTTTTTTATCAAATAAAAATAAAATATTTATCATTGTTTTTAAAGAGTACATGAATTATTTTTAACAAATTAGAAAAAAAAATATTTACTAACTAAAGATATAAAAATAAAATAAATATATGAGACGATAAATTCGAACATGGGACCTACCCCATCCCGTCCGGTTTAACTTGGTACGAGGATGGGAAATGTAATAAAAACACCCGACGAGAAGGGATGAGAATGATTGACACGTTCTATACCAGCCAGTTGCCATTCCTAAGCAGAAGAAAGAATTCCCAAAAAGTTTCCAACTCTAACAAATCCCTACGAAAAGTTTTCCATTTTAAAGACGTCTTGCACCAATGCTAAATCCTAGAAGAAATTTTTGTAGCTTGAACTATTGAATAAATTGGTGCATAATTTATATTCCGCTAATAAAATATACATACATGCAAATACGAATAGAGTAACGACTTATCGAAATCATAATGCGGCATAATAATGAGCAAATCACGACTTACTCAAATGTTTCGAATAAGAAAAAATGAAGCGAGGTATGCAAATACAAATCTTTTTAAGACGAATTTCATCCCTACACTATGCTAACAATGTAGATCGCTAAGCAGTTCCTTGACAAGTCAGCCATCACGAAGAAAGTGGGTAGTTATAGAACGTCAAGCAGTTCTACATAGAAAATCATCAAAGGAGTATAAAAATGAAAAGAAGACATAGAAGGAAATACTCCAAATCAATCACTCTCAACAGAAAATATGTAATTTCATTTCATTTATTTTCTAAAGTACAAATTTTCAATTTACTTCGTATGCTTGTGCCTCTTGGAGGCGTTTTGTTTCTTCCCAATTGTAATCTTCATAAATAAAGCACCAATTTTTTGGATTTTGTCTCAAGAGGTTTGTTCGTTACACAATAGTCTGAACCTTTCTTTTAATTGTTAGCGATAACCCGCGCGAAACAGAACAGTATGTCACCCTATCGCCCATTCATCACACTACACTGTCTTTTACCGTTTGAAAATTTTAGCCATGCCCCGAAGCTGACGTGGCTGACTCTTTCGACTAGACAAATTATTGATGTTAGTTTGTTGCACGCCATCAAAATCTCCACAATTGGTTCAAAGGGCTATCCTAAAATGCTATTTTGATCTGATAACCACAAAAAAAACACACAGAATAATTACCAAAACGAAATGGAATAAACAACAAAAATGCAAAGCAGAAGTAGGGATGGCCAAAAAAAAAAAAACTTGTTCAACTCAATACCCGCGGGCCTCGCTCTAAATTAAGAGGGGATTACCCGCCTGTCATTGCCCCGAAGAGGATATTGCCCGCTACTCTTCCCCTTTTAAAGTTAATTTCAAATTTAAATTTAAATTTAAATTTTTTATGAAATAAAAATAAAATATTTATCATTGTTTTTAAAGAGTACATGAGTTGTTCTTGACAAATTAGAAAAATAATAATAATATTTACTAATTAAAGATATAAACATAAAATAAATAAGACAATAAATTCGGACATGGGACCTACCCCGTCCCGTCCGATTTAATCTAGTACGGGGACGGGAAATATGATAAAAACACCCGATGGAAAGGGATGAAAATGATTGACCCGTTCTATACCAGCCTGTTGCCATTCTTAAGCAGAAGAAAGAATTCCCAAAAAGTTTCCAACTCTTAACAAATCCCTACGAAAAGTTTTCCATTTTAAAGCCGTCTTGCACCAATGCTAATCCTAGAAGAAATTTTTGTGGCTTGAACTATTGAATAAATTGGTGCATAATTTATATTCCGCTAATAAAATATACATGCATGCAAATATAAATAGAGTACGACTTATCGAAATCATAGTGCGGCATAATAATGAGCAAATCATGACTTACTCAAATTTTCGAATGAGATAAAATGAAGTGAGGTATGCGAATTCGAATATCCTTAAGACGAATTTCACCCGTACACTGTGCTAACAGAATCAAATGGACATCTGTCTTGTAAAATACAATACTTCTTCCAAAATTAATATAACACAAGGAACCAATGCTTGAATGTACTCTTTTAGAATGGAAGATATCAAAACTAAATATCGAATACAAAACTCAAAAATAATTTGGAAATTATTTTGGCATAATTTAGAGAAGGAAATAATTGATTTGGAGTGAAGAAAATAGAATTAGGAGGGTCGTGTTTATAGATTTTGATGTGTCTCTTTGAATGATCACATCTTTTGGTACAAATTAATTTCAACCACTAAATCACACAATTTCATATTTAACGGTGTAGATTGTACCTTACCTAAAGGTCACACTCATTTCGAAACAATATAACTCTTTGATATTTATCATTTGCAATCAAAAAATCGCGTCTAGTGATCGTACAATTGAAACTTTTCCAATTCACACTTATAAATATTCCAAAAATTCCAACAAGAGCAACTATGGAACTCCAAGAATTAATGGTGTGATTTTAAGGTTGCTCCGGAATTTGAATACTCTTCAAACCAAAACTAGAGGGATGCATCTGTGGCTTTCCAATTGAACATTCTTCAACATGAAATCAAAGGGCTGCGTCGGGATAAAATGTGTTATGATATTGAAAATCATAGATAGCGGATTTAAAGAATCGAAGGATCAAATACGACTTACAGATGCACAACTCACACAAATAAAAGATAATCGAAAGAAGAAGCAAAAGGCATTGTTCTTCATATATCTAGGGTTGAATGAAGTAATTTTGACAAGAATTTCCAATGCTTATTTAACAAAACAAGCTTGGGATATTTTGTAATCTACCTACAAAGGTGAAAGCTAAGTTAAAATGGTACGTTTACAAGCAATTAGTGCAGAATTCGATACAATTAAAATGAACGATTCTGAATCTGAATCCGAAAGTTCAAGATAAGTCATGCTTTGCTGAGAAAAAACCATTGTTGATTAAAGATGTAGCAGCAAAGACTTTGAAGCGATAGTTTATCGAAAGCCTCGTGTGAAGTTTTAAACAAAACGAGATAATATGTTTGTTGTTAGTATGTTTAGCAGGTTCTTTGTTACACCAAAATAAAGCTATTGAGAAACTACAAAACTCTACATGAAAATGACACTTGATTCTGATGTGTGTACTCTCATGGAAAACTGGATTCTTTGCAAGAGTAACTACTAAATTATTTGGCTTATGGACCCTTTAGATTATTCATATCCATCTCAACCATAATGCTTGACAGTTGACAGCCAGCTATCTACAAAGAAAGATATCCCGTTTTTTTCAAATAAATAATACTATTCATTCCCACTGGGTTGAGTCTCAATCTATGTGGCAATTATATGACATTAAATGATAGGCTTCATTAAATGAGTCATTTGACTTTGTATTTAAATGAATCTATCATAATGTGACAATTACATGGCATTAAATGATATATTTAATTAAATGAGTCATGTGACTTTGTATTTAAATGAATCTATCATTTAATGTCTGGCAATTGTCACATAGACTGGGGCTCAATCCCAGCAGAGATGATCAATAGCATTACTCTTTTCAAATTGAGAGAATTACTATAGGTTGCTTCTTCGATGCCCAAGACATTAGTCCGACTCCAATGTTCAAAACATATCCTAAAGTGATCGCCAACATTATTTCTCCAATCGCTGTCACTACAACCAACCAAGGTTGAGTCTTCAGCTTTCTTGTAATGTAAAGTCCCCTTTCACATACAAGGATGAAGTTTTGTCAATTTCTGCAAATCCCAAAATCAACCATTCGATAATTTTACAAAAACATTGAAGATTGAATGGTTTGTCACCTTGAAAGAAAAGCTGGCGTTTCACAAAAGGAGGATGATAGAAAAATAATCAAATTTGCTTGTATTGCATTCTATTCTATGGCACTAAAGAGTCTTTCAATGCTGTCTCAACTGTAAACAGAGTGAACATTTCTTTTGTTTCTTCACAGAAAGCTAAAACAGGAAATCAGAATAAAAAATTACCCTCATCCAGAGCCTCTACAGGCTAATACAAATCTCTTGCCAAATTTGATTTGCCAACAGTGTTCAACAAGAATCGACCAAATATTGAAAGGTTTGTCAAACAAATTTCAGCTTCAGTCTATAGATAGTCGGACACCAATTTCCGGCCAAACAAGCATTTCCCACAACATTGATCATAAAAATCTGATATGTATACACAAATGTAACCCCCAGAAATACTGATGAAAATGGAAAACAAGAAAAATACAAAAGAAAATTGAATTTCATCTACTATAGTCAATTCCAGTGACAAACCACAACGGTATCTAATTACCCTTTACATTTACATCTAAAATTTCTCAGTGCGCTAAAAAAAAAAGGGAAGAGAAAAGGTACTAAGCTCTCTAAACCTACTGCCTATCCGATCCCATTAACTATCGGCTTAAAAGAATATTACTTTACAAGTTGAGCTACTATTTTCTGGAAACAGTATGTATGCTGATTATCAGGGTTCTTAATTCTTCATCTTGGCATTGGAAAGCTAAGATTTTGAAACCCTCCTTGATCAGGGTGATTGGCGGGTGGAGGCAAAGTTACACTATCCACAGCTGTCGTAATGTCATGGATGCTTGACCTTTTTCTCTCTTTTTTCACGGAGGTGGAGGCACTGTTACACTATTATCAGCTGTCGTAATGTCATGGATGCTGGACCTTTTTCTCTCTTTTTTCACGGCTGTTTGACGAAGATAATATTTCTGTGCATGACTAGCTACTTGTGTTGGTGTCCTCGTAACCACTACGTTTCTTGAAATGCTTCTCCAATCACCTTTGCCATACGTGTCGAGCCCGATTAAAAATAACCTGCGAACAGAAAAATATGAGTCAATGTATTGATAATTATTATGCCTCAACTTAGGAAAAACAAACAGAATGATTTCATATCTAACTATTCAGAATAGAAAACGCATTGCCATTCTTGTCCAAGAAGATGCATAAGAAAATGTCAAAGAACTTTCACAAGTTATCTGTGCTAAAAAAATATAAAACCACACTGTTCACTTTATCTCGTGATAGTTTCGAAACCACAGGCAACTAGAAAGGAACATTATGTATTAATAAGTCGAAATTTAATTATATCCGAACTAAAGTGGCAACTGGTTCCACCCGTATATTAAGCATTCTACCTCAAATAAATAAGTAATCAAATATTTAACGACATGAATAATCAAATAATAGATTTCACAGAAAAGCTGAAAAAGTTGAGGCATTTGTTTTACCATTTGTTTAACAATAATGTCTGAAAGCTTATTCTCTTAAGAGATTTTGCGTTTATTTACTTAACTTCAGTCTTTAGGAGACCCTTACGTGCAAATCAGATTCAAATTTTTCGAAGGCCAGACACGTGCAAAAATTTCATAATTGGATAACTGGGAATTGTCACTGGTGATCCACCACGACATCTAAGCCTTATGTTGCTAGAGGCATGACAAATTTATTTATATAAAATTATCATCAGTTACTAATAAAAACTTCACCTGATAGCAAATGAAAGATAGTGAGGGTGCCTCGGATAAATATAGATCTAAATCTCTCCAAATATCTTAAAATAGATTGTCTTTTGCATTAGCATTTTGCCTGAAAGATACCCTCTTTCATTTCAAAATTTCGTGAATCTTATTCGCCATTACTAATAACCCAAAATAAAAAATTTCATCCCACGAAAGCTAAAGACAGGTCCTAATAAGCCTCAAACATGCCCCCAATTCCAAAATTTTCTTCGTCTTTAATTTAACTATTCTTTCTCCCCTTTGCATCTTAAACCCAAATTCTAGATTACAGCTCAGCCACTCTTCTTCAACCTTTGCCTTGCAAAATCTTAAAACCTTTAAACATACAATATCTGTTTCTTCAAGTTTTCATTTTCTTTGTCAATTTTATTGTTTATTCAACAACCTAATCTCCTTGCAAACTAAGGCAATAGACACAAACAAAAGAAGTTGCATTCCCGAAATTTTCAATAATAACATTGAAAGAAAATGGTTTTTAATCCACATTCAACAATTATTCCAAAAAAAAAAAATTCTGAAAGAAATTCACAGAAGAGCATAAACCCAAAATTCTGTGATATTCTCAAAATTCTGTGCATTAAGAATAATAAAGATTTTCGTTCCTTTTCAATTGTAGTTTAAGAAAAAAAAAAAGAATTCATTGGTTGTATAGAATTATCATTTCATATCCAGAACAAAATAAATAAATTAAATATTCAGCCAAAAATCATGACCATTGGAATGTAAATATCTGAGTGATTGTTATACCTGTGTTCTTCTTCTGTCCAGGGTGTTCCTTTTTTCCTTTCAACCTCGTTCTTCGTCCTGTGTCCACGCGTCCCGAAGGAGATCTGACCCGGCCTTCTCGATTCATCTTGGTTCCATCCAGACGACCCTGAGTCATCGCTATAACTCGGAAGCTCGACCCGACCGGAATCAATCTCATACACATCATGCAAAAGCGACTCGTAATGGGCCCTGACGGCTTCCTGTGTCTTTCCAGGCAGCCGATTGGCGATTTTATGCCAGCGGTTCTCATCCATCTCGTCAGCGAATTCCACCAAAGAGTTTTCGAAAATCTTGTCTTCTTGCCGACTCCAATCCGCCGCCTCGGAATTCCTTATTAGCATCCATTCATTACCGCTATTATTATACATAATTCAATATCTTAGATTAATCCAATTCAATCTAATTCAACAAGATCCTCTTTTATTTTGTGGGTTTTATGCAGAAGAGTTTTTAGGAGGTTTTGGGAGAAATTTGCGGTGGACTTTTATTTTGTGGGTTTTATGCAGAAGAGTTTTTAGGAGGCTTTTTGGGAGAAATTTGCGGTGGAGGGTATATATACATAATACATGTAGAGCGAGATTGTAGAGAGAGAGAGATGTGGAATTGGATCTTTTGGAAGAAACCAACTTCATTTTGACTTCTTTTATATATTTATTATTTATTTATCACCCACAGTTTGTTTTCTTTTATTTTTATGACTGTAATAATTATATATACTCAGGTTATGGCCAATAATTACTTTTGACAAAGTTGGACTTCGGCCGATTTTGTACTTCTGGATTAGCTTATAGATTTTTCTAAAATAAATACATAATCCAATGATTGCAAGTACTATGATATTTTATTTGTTAAGTAAAATGAAATTAAAATATTGTTGTCAATAATTTATATATTTCTTCATTTCAAAATTCAATTTCTTTTTTCAAATATTAATATGAAAAGGAGAGAGAATAAAAAACAAAGAGTCTATTACAATAAGGAACTCGAGTTAATGTAAATTTATAACGAAACAATTATGAAATTGACCTTAGTTTGATATTGGGTCAAGTCACTAATTAGATATGTTCGCAAAGGAACAAATCCTATCCCGTCAAAAGGGACGGGCTTGTGATCCACCAAAATTTTCAAGAATTAAACTACTTGTACGATGAATTTGTACAATGATTTTGACAATGTGTGAGGTGTGTAGATCATTGCTATTGAATTCAAAAAACAATCTTTCAAATCAATTGACATAATATCTGCCAACTCACACATTGTCAAAACTTATTGTCAAATTCATTGTACAAGTAGCATGGTTCAATTTTCAAACCATGTTGAAAAGGATTTTCGAAATAAAACCTTTTGCACGAAAACAAATTGCCTACCCACTTAGTCCCTGTTTGATGGTTACTATTTTAAGAAAAATCTTCCGAACCAGTTATTAAGGCTGTGTAGGGTGTTAAGTGGGTGAGTTGCTCGTCGCCTCGACGATCTGACTCACCCCACTAATTTTATAAAAGTCATCAAAAGTGATTTATTCAATAATTTTTAGTTTAAATTGAATATCTCATTACTTTTAAAGACTTTTTCAAAATCTAAAAGGTCTTATATTGAATACTACAATACTTACATAAATTTTAAAATAAATACACTCAAACTTTTTATTTTCATAATATCATACAATACTTGTGATTATTGATTTTCATTAGATATTTTTTCTGTATAAGATTCTTAGTGTTTTTTTATCATCTTTTCTTAAACTCTAACATCAATCAATAAATATAATTTTAGTAAGTTAATAAAATATTAAAAAATACTTAATTTGACTCTTCCAACATTGTAACAACAATTACAAAATCTTAATTGCTATATTATAATTAACAAAATTTGTATAATCAATAAAAACTATAAACAATCAAACAAAATATTTTTTATATTAGATGTTATTTTGAAGCTAAAATCGTTATCTTATTCATTTTAATTTGGGGTGATTTTACAAATAAAAAAATATTAATAATGCTTGCATATTTTATTGATATCTATTGCGGATGAATTTTTTTTTTTTATGAGAAAAAAGCTTCATTGAAGAGAATTGATAAGTGCATTTTATGCGTTTACTCGGACTTCTATTCTTGTTTATTTATATATAAATTGAGCGATTATCTACTTAATTTGTGTAAATTATGTTAATTTTAGAAAAATCCTAACTTGAATACAATTTATGTGAAAAAAGGCTACTTGGAGCTTAATTGGGGTTGATTTGGAGTAATTGAAGATTAACCCAATTGTAAGAGATCAATTGTAAGTATTAATAGAGCATTCAGTAAAAATTCATAAGTTTCGAGAGTTAAATTCAACATCTGAAAAGTGCGAGGATTAAATTGCAAACTCTAGAACTTGCATTGGATCAACTATAATGATTTAGAATGAAGAGGACTTAATTGCAATATTAGAATATGAAAAACTAAAAGCACATGAAAATATGAGTTCAATTGGAAAATGAATTGTTTCCTTTTTCTTCTTAAATTCTTTGATGTAATTTAATTTCAATAAGGATTTTGCCTAAGCTTGTTCTATAAATAAACAACATAGTCCAACAATTAGAGGGGACTTGTACAGCTTCGCTATACACATACATTCAAGTCAAGGTTTGAGGATTCATTGTACATATATTATTCAAGTCAAAAGAAGGAAAAATCAAGAAATCAATCAACAAACTAGATTTCAAAATTTTACAAAAAAGATGGCAGAATCTTGGCACATGTAGAGATGTGGATTATTTGTTTAGATTGTTTAATAATTTCCATCATTGAAGTTGAATATGAATTGGAATCTAGTATAAATTAGGATCTAGTATAAAACGTAGAGATATTTATGCATAATGCGGTCGTTACATAAATTTTTAGAGATTTAATACGTTTTAACTAAGACATATCCGGATTCACATGGAGATATGGAATTGATTTGGTTAAATAGACTCAATGAGAAATATATGGTGATAAATTGAATTTGTCAGAAGAATTCGATCGAGTAAACATAATCAATTGTATAAAATCTGGTGATTGGGATTAATGGGATAACCAAGGTAAAATCATGAATCTTAACACTTAAACCATCATATTAAAAAATCACTTTTATTTGTTTTAGTATGTTTAAAAAAGAAAATCACAAAAAAAGAAAAATAATTATTTTATTTGTTTTCGAACAAATTGAAGTTAGGAATAATTGAATTAGTTGTTGGATGGTAGTCATTGTGAGAACGATATTTGAACTCATATGTTCACTTCATTACTTGTTACGATTCGTACACTTGCAAGATATAAAAATTAACATCAAGAATAATATACAAACATAACTAATAAAATACTTTTTGACACTAACCAAAATTCATTATTTTATAAAACAGCTTTTTCCCTTCAAGAAGTGCTTTATCCACTACATCATTTGAACTAGAGTATAGAAGAAGCAAAAGAATTTGAAACTAACCATACATCCATTATTTCATCAAAAAAAAAAAAAAAAGCTTTTGCCTTTCAAGATGTGCTTTTGAACTTTGTAGAAGTCCTTCCAAACACGAACTAAAGATTCACTACATCATTTGAACTAGAGTAAGAAGAAGCAAAAGAATTAGAATGAGACATGTGAATTATAGAGGATTTCATTCACCAAGTAGTTTAATGCCTAAGATATATTAAATCATATCACATTTTAATTAGAGAAATATTACTTGTACATTCTTGTTTATCACTTGGTTTACATAATGTACAAGTGACAATATTTTACACTATGTCGAACAAAAAAAATCAAATCAACCTGTGAAATCTTGCTAATTGTACATTATGTAAACCAAGTGGTAAACAAGAATGTACAAATAGCATTTCTCTTTTAATTACTACATTAAGGCTCTATTTGATTACCACATTTTTCATGAAAAATGTGGTATTTGAGGAAAACGAATTTCACTTTGACCGTTTGATTGCAACATGAAAATGAAAATCGAATTCTAAGGTATACCACTTTAAGTTGCATTTTATATGTTTTCATGAAAAACGAATTTCTATGGATTTGGTGAATTTTTATTTTCCAATTAATATGGAATTGGAATTCCTTTCCACCTTTACCTATCAAACGGACCATAAAGGTTTCTATTCTTTATTCATTGTTATATTTATAATCCTAACTTTTTACATCTCATACTTATCAATAACCATTAGAAAATCTTCTCTCTAAGGATTGTTTTAGTCCAAAAAATTTGTCAGCATTCTTTAAAATAAGTGGCAAATATATAAATAGTGCTTGTAATTTTTTACATTTTTTTGCTTATTCAAAAATACGAGGGGCAACTAAATATTTTACTCCTTAACATAATTTATTGACAGCAATCTGGGACAATATGTGCTAATTAAAAAAATATTGAAGATAATAATGTAATAATAAAAACTTGAGGACATATAAGTGTGAAAATGACTAAAGGAATGAACCTTTCATTCATTTAAAATGTGGTGTCAATATCCTTACAATATATAAAAGATCAAAGTGGATTACTATTCATAAGGCATCATCAATTATGCCATGCTGACATCATATATTTAGTGTTATAACAATTTTATTTTTTTATTTTTAGCTTTCTCAAGCATGACACATTTTTCTTCTCACGGTCTTAATCCATTTGTTCACACAACCTCCCTCTTTACTCCGTTCTCCACACAACCATTCGTATTACATGAGACTTGTCCTTTCTTGTCTCATTTCTATTTCTTATTTAATTTTTCCCCCTCTTTTCTATTTCTTATTATGGTTTAATCGACTGCGGAATGTGGGGCTTCAATTTCCAACGTTGGCTCTATCGATTTTCCTTTATTTCCAGCTTGCTGAATGTGGATTTTCGTGCGTAGAGGATCAATTTCAATTCCTCTATATCAAAAGGTATGTATTGCTCATTTGGCATTGAGGAAGATTTATGCTCGGAATGTGCCATTTGAGATTTCCTCTGGGATATTGTTGGGGATATTTTTCATGTATCGTGAGATTGAGGAAGGACCTATAAGGTTTTATGGCAATTTTGTGTAAAATTTCTGGGTATTTAGCATTTCGAGGATCATTGTAAATTTTACAAACAATTTGCCTCAAATTCATTAAAATTTCCCTTTGACATGCATTTTTTTGTTTTTGGGTTTCAAGAAAACAATGGTTGAATCAATAGGTTTTCCTTATCATTTAACAAGTTTTGAAGAGAAAAAAATGGTGATTTTGTAGTTTTTTATGCGTGAAGGCTGTTACATAAGTGGGGTGGGGTCCCAATGTTTCCCATGTTACTAATTTGTAAAATTTATAATCCTACATAGGAAAAGTTGGAATTTGTTTAACCGTTTCAAAATAGTATTGC